GGGGGGGGGGGGGGGGGGGGGGGGTGTGGATGGGGACTTACACTTTGACTCCCATCTCTGCTGCTGATAGTTGAGTAATATTTGCAAACATGCCATGTAAATAAGCTGAGAATGACCAAACCAGGAATGCAATGAACATAAGTAGAAACGACAACTCTGTCCAAGAAACAATCCCAAGAAGACCTTTCACAAGTGCTGGCCTCCTCCATGAGGCCAAGCGATAACTTTTTCCAGAGGCATTTGACCTGTCGAGTAAATTGGTGATATGAAGCCGATTAAATAGACTTTATACATGATAGAAACTTGATTGTGCACACGATTAAGATATGAATTGAAAAAATTTAGACATGACACGACTTACATGACTTAAAATTCAACACCCTCACCATAATAATACTCAAATCATCAATAGGAAACTAACTAATGATAAAATGCTAGAAGTCAAATATTTTGCAGCATAAACCAAATACCTTTCATCGACATCATCACCATAGGTCTTGTTTAGATGGAGGTATAAACAACCCAAAGTGGCAATGAGTAGGATTGGAAATGTATAAATCAGAATTTTTGCCCCTGCAGAGTTGAAGATACAAACTTTTAAAATTTAAAACTTGTTGCTTACTGACATGTTTAGAGCTGATTTTTTAGGTGAAAAACTGCGGTTTAAAATTTTTTATAAAAAAGTTAGAGTTAAAAAAGTCTTCAAAAACCGTTTAATGTGTTCTTTAAAAAGTTATAAAAGTCTGTTGGAACTTTGGAGTAACTTTTTAGTCTTTTTTGTTTAAAATAAAAAAATAATTATATGTATGTATAGATTATGCATAATAGTTCTCAATATATAAATTTTAAATTTTTTACATCACTAATAATATGTTTTTGAATATAATAAATTAAAAAGTTGTGTGAAAAAAAAGTCGGTTCAAACGGATTTGACTTATTTTACTTCAAAATCTTTAAAAGCTACCCATTTAAGCTAGCTTTAAACATGTCCATTATCATTCTAAAAGTAATCAATTAGAAGAAGAAGAAGAAGAAAAAGAGGAGAAGAGAGCAAACCTTCTTGTTCAAAATATGTGGAATCGGCCTTAGAATCGATGTCCGGCAACCAGTGCAGCCAAAATGTATTCGTTGGCATCATTACCCATATCATAATGTACCCTGAAAATATCACCATTATCAACAATCTTATTCCTAAGTTTGCTGTCTTCATCACTGCTGAATCTCTCTCTCTCTCTCTCTCTGTGAGAGTGTGTGTGTGTGTGTGTATTGTATGTGTAGATAGTCCTCTGGTTCCAGTGGATGTATAAGTTAGTCAGCAGACCATTATATAGAAAGGATGTTGTGTATTATATAATACGAGTAGATTAACTAAAAAGGAACGGAAAAGGACCAACTTTCATGTCCACCTGGAATGTGCCTACATGCAAAATTGTTGTGTACGACACCACAAACAAACATTTAAACGAATAGAAAACCATACAAACACAAATTCACTTTATTCGACTCATAATGTTATATTTATGTGCGAACTATTATAAAAAAATCAGTATTAAATATATGAGGGGTTTATTTTTCATAAATTTTTTAGTTTCGACGACATAAATGACTTACCTTTGATTAAACTAAAGTGTAAATCAATCGAACTGCTCATAATTTGGCCCGGACATTTCTAATCGTATTACCAAGTGAAAAAAAAAACAGTTTACTAAGTATGTGCCGGTCACTGCATTCCACAAAATGTCATTTTCTAGCAATGAAAACAAATGTTTTTTTTTTGAAGCTTCTGTAAGAAGAAGGAATTTATTAAATATTCCATTTCGCACCCCCAAGTTCCTCCAGAATTGATGGATTGGACTGTTCTATTATCATTGGTGAACGCTAAAAGAGACCAGTATTGCGTTTTTTTGTGAGTGATTTATCCTTTTTTTATATTGGTATGGAAAAAAGTTTTTAAGTTGGTACTAATTTTTTCAATGATTGAATAAGATATGAAAGGTAAACTTGTATATTCTGAGTTTAAATTGAAATTATTCTGTATGAACTTTTAGTTTAATTGATACCCATAAATAAATTTATGGGTGAGTGTGTGAATTTAAAATTTGCATAATAGTTGTGAGTCCAAATAACACATGTTTGAGATGATCTTCAATATTTAAATAATGAAAAAAAAACTCTACTATTTCAAAAACAAAAGAAAATTCTCGAATGTAACTTGAAAAAAATTGTGGGTGCTCAAATTATGGCTAATAATTGAGTTGAGTTACTTAGGGTCAGCTCGGATAGAATTCGACTCGAGCTCACTTCGTATTCTGAATGAGTTAAATTTGAACAATTCTTTAGACTCTTTTAGAAAATGAGCTTAAAAAGACTCGACTCGAACTCGCAAAACTTAACTCGTTTACATGTAAAATAATTGAGTTACTTGAGTTCAGCTCTTTTTGAGCTCAACTCATTTTCTAGACGAGTTGAACTTGAACAATAATTTTTTAGGCACGTTTAAAAAATAAAGAACTCAAAAAGCTTCACTTGAACTCATAAAACTCAACTCGATTATCAACTCTAAATAAAATTAAATCATGAATCATTTTGGATGTCTCTTGAACTTAACTTTTACATATACATAAACAATTACAACACACAAACCCCCTTCTAACAATAATTAGTAGAAAAAATGGAAAAAAGGAAAAAAAAAAAAAAAACACCACACACAATCGGAGGCACAGAAACCTCACTTATTTTTGAGTATTATTTATATATATATATATATATAGAGGCATTCATCACCAGCTAAAGCTAATAGACTCAAAGTGCAGGTTCTTAGCCAAACCAGAAGAACATATTCTTGCAACTTCGTGTCTCATCTTCCTTGGTCCACATACTAAAACTCCAACATCCGATCCTTTGTATTCGAATAGTATCCCTACATAGTCAACAAACGCAATCATTTGTCTACAAAATTAATCCTCAATGAGCTAAATTTATTTTAGTGCAAAGTAATTTTTTTATGTGGTACCAAAAAGTCAATACAAAATGAGAATGAGGTTGCCATTCAATCTTGTGAGGTTACCGGAATTGAGGTTGTTTGGTATCAATTAAAATATTCTACTATCGATCCACGCATTAATTCTCTCTTTGATTAGGTCAAATGTATGTTTTTCTTATCAGGACTAGGGTGTTGACAAGGGATAAAATGGTTTGGTCTCAAAGAGTTGTTAAAATTTAAACTTTGTACGTTTGGGTTTACAACTCGCCTCTATTACCACTTGAACTACCTTGCAGAGTTATACCCTTTATTCCAAGGCAATGTGGAGAAAAATTAGGAGTACCACAAAAACAATCAACTTACTTTTTAGGTCAGGCCTCATCCCAAAATGCACCTTGGTTGCACGAACAAGGGATTGGTAGGGAAGGCTTTCAAGCTCTCTATCTGCACCATATAACCATGACCCTGGTGATGTTGTTGGTGTAGGTACTTCCATTTTCTGAATTTGTCCCCCTTCAAAGGTATTTTGTCTCGTTTGCCAGAGAAAAATGGCACTGGTGGCTATGAATATACAGACACATACAAAAAAGATATCCCAAAGAGTTCTTGAGGTGAAATTGTAAATCTTGTTGGTGTTGTGATCTATGGGGTATATGTAGAAACGTGTGAGAATACCCAAGAAGAGTAGAAACATAACCAAAGAGGATGATATTATTGCACCAAGCCAAAGCCAACTGTTTGGACCAAGGGCTGCAGAAATGGGTGAATCAGATGGACTTGGTTTAAACCATATGGTCTGCAGGAGCTTCTGAGTATCATCAAGGGGTTGCTCTTTCTCTCTTGTGACATAGGCTTCAATCTGCAGCTGTATTTGGGAGATATCGGACGAGGTGTCGGATATGGGAAGAAAGAGATCTAGCATGGTGAGATCAGATGAGTTCTTGAAGCAAGAAATGAGTAGAACTCTTGGAATCCTGCAGTTGGGTTGTGTGCTTTGAAATATGATCTCTCGGATTATGGAGATGAAAGGAGTAATGCCACTGCCTCCACTGATCATCACCAGAGACTCATGTCTGCAATATAAGAAGATCCATGAAACTTAATGATCAGCATCATTTACTTGAGAGCCTCAGAACATGTATTAAGACGCTTGAATTTGGGCACAATTCAACTTAGACAACCTTGCTTTCACCAAGGCTGTGGATCCCTAATAGCTCATATCACCTTGGTTTCACTTTAGGGGTGGATTGTGATGATTCATTCCCGCATGGCCGCATCGCTTAGTAAAGTAGATGCAAAGTGGTATATAAGTGTAAGCTTCGAATTTTATTGTACAATACATTTTAAAACGGTGTAGACCTGACTCAAAACAGACAACATTATATCATATAGGTCCTGAGATTACATGTAATGATTGCAATGCCATCCATACAAGAAGAGGGAGGCTGAAGTTGTGAAGCCAAACCTTTCACGATCATCTTGGTGGGTATGCTTTTGTTAAGAAACTGACCTCAGAAAAGGAGAGGATGTGGGTCCATAGGGTCCTTCAGTGGAGACTTCAAGATGGTCTATAGAAGAAGAGAGTTCTTTGTAAAGCTTTTGAGACCAACTTCCCTCACTTTTGATGGCAATGCTGAGCTTATCCTGCTCCATATGGGAGTTGGATATTACAGTGAAAGGGTGCCATTGAAGCTTTGAAATGGTTGGTACATTCACAAACAAGATGCTTGTGGGGTTATAAATCAATCCTGGGGAAGAAAAGATATCAGCAATTACATTTTGCAAGTAAATATTTGGATTAATTACACTTTGATCCTCTTAAACTATGAGATTTGCTTCACTTTGCCTCCTCAATGATTGAATTTCTCACATGGCCACCTCAACTACCTTAATTGATTTCATATTGCCTAAAATGTAAAACTTTGCTATCATTCGGACAAAAAATGTCACTTTTCGAAGAACAAAATCACATAATTCAGGGGGTAAAGTGAATTAAATTTTCATCATGGTTGATAGGACAATGTGAGAAATCTAATAGTAGAGGAAACAAAAAAGACATACCTCATAATTTAATTAATTAAACTTTGACCCAACCATGAGTTTCGTGTTATTTTGTCCCCTCAACTATTGCATTTCTTACATCGACGCCTCAATTAAGTAAATTGGTTTTACGTTACCCAAAATGTAGACGAAAAATGTCAGAATTCAGGGGTTAAAGTGAAACAATTTTTTATCAAATTTCTTTCATTGGACAGTATATAACTAATAACCATAGTAGAGGGGATAATGTGAGAAATTCAATAGTTGAGGGAACAAAGAAAGACAAACCTTATAATTTGAGGGGTCAAAATGTAATAAATCCTAAATATTTTTAAGAAAAATTGCTGTGGTTACGAAATCACCTGCACTCTTGGAGAAGTTCAGTTCAAAGGTGCCACAAGGTAAAAGTCGAGCTGAAATTAGCCTGGCCTTGTGTCGTGACTGTAAGAATCTTAAATATCGATCGATGAGGAAGAGGAAGACCCCAGGAAGGATCATGCAGAAGTAGGCAACCCCAACGTGCAAGGCATAGAAGAACACGTAGAGAGTGTAGAGATGGTGTGTGTAGAAGAATAGCTCAAACATCTTTCTTCTAACTCGAGGAAAGCTTGTCACCCACATTGCTAATGCCAATATGAATGCAATCTCTCCAGCTATGTTTGGTACATAATCTCTGCTCCATTCTAGCATCTGTATTGCCAATGAGTCAATAATAACTCCCTCATTTCCTAATTTTTTTTATGTACGACTGTAAGTCGATAAATCACTATTACAATGAACATTAAGTTTAAACAATTAACTTTTACAACGACAAACAATGCTTGTAGATGAGAAAGAATGGAGAGACATGACCAAAAACCCGGAATAGAAGTCCTTTATTTCCAAATTAAGCACTTGTACATTGATACCATCAAAATGGTGCATTAGAGGTGTGCAATCTTTAACAATCCCACGTAGGGAAAAACTAAGAACGGTAAGGGACAGTACTGGATAAAAGTTCTAATGATTCAAGAGTTCTCATTGAAGTTGCAATTATTTCAGCAATCATAGATAAGACTATCCCATCATACAATTGAATGAAAAAAATACTACTTGACTCAAGTGTACAAGGTTTCAGTTAATGTTGGTCAAATATACCCAATCTCACTCGTCATACGCTAAAATTCTGTCCATTATAACACTCGTCAGCACGATACACACCATCAATCACCATCCTTGTTGTTGGAAAAAGTTAAAAAAAAAAAAGGTAGAGCAAGAATATAATTAGTCTAAATGAAAAGGACAACACACTTTTATTCCACAAAAGAAAAGGACAACACCATAGACATCAACAAGGGAAATATAGAACCAAGAATGAATACCACAAACGTTATAGTCAAAGAAAAAGGTAACAATTTTTTTTTTTTTTTGGGGGGGGGGGGGGGGGGGGGGGGAGATGGATCAGGACACTATAGTCCATTAATAAATTTATTAAAGGAAATATTTATTAGCAGTTTTTTCTACATCTAGAACTCGCATCGACAGTTGTCTGGCTGTGATACTATATGTCGATATGAGAAGGGTGAATGCGTGTAAGGTCTTGAATAACCTTTGACATTTTCAGCCCTAGTCTGGCATAATTATAATGTATCGACATCATGGGGAAAACTTCTGACTGGGCCTTATTTGGTAGAGTGAGGATCGTGTGAACTATGCGGGGGTGTTGAGTCGAGTATTTATTGTCAATGCTGTCGATCAAATGATGCTAACAAAAATTATAAGTTTATCATTTTGCCCTATTAATTGAACATGTTAAGAGAAAATATTGTGTAACAAGTATACCACGTTAATAGTATCACACATGGTGTAACTGTTTACTAGTAAGTGATAAATTTTGCAAGTGAGTTTTATAAAAATTCATAATCATCCAGTTATATAATACATAATTATTTTCGTGCACGAAAGTGGAGCACATTTTATAAAATTATATTATATGATATTGTTAAGATGACATAATCACAAAAGTGGAAAATCACACTTTGCCAGACCAATCCTTTCCTTTCTTTGAGACCGATCCTCCTGTCGTGCTAATGATTGTTAAATCTTTGAAAAACATAACAAGATTTATACTGTTTATAATCAAGTTAAATTTTGTTAACTAAAACTTGACAAGTTTATTTTTTTAAATGAGTTTANGGGGGGGGGGGGGGGGGGGGTGCATGTGGTACGTACCAAAGCCATTTGATTGGTCATGGCCCAGTAGATGACGAACCCTATGCTATGTGCACAGAAAAGGATCATTGAGAGATGCCCAAGCCAGATATGATACTTGATACTAGACTCCGATGTGAGACCAACCAGAGGCAAAATGGATGATCCTCGAGTTACTGGAAAGAACAGAAAGGCCCAGCATGTGTTACCAATATACCCTAGTCTCAATGATACACTCCGAAACTTGGCTTGCCACCTACCAAAACAAACCATGGCAAAGCAATTAATTAGCTGAAAACTCAAGCTTTAGCTCAAGCGCGATTGAATAAGATTGCTAATTTGAACAAAATCTACCAAACAAAAGGTGTAAAGTAACAGTATAGGCCTGTACAATTCTAAAGGGCGTTATACAATAAAGATCTAAAACTCATACTTATGTACCAAGTCACCGCATAATTCATCAGTTGGGTGTTAGGTGCAAACATCCTCATTTGGAAATCCCTACCTAGGTGATGTGGAGTTCTAGAGAATTATTCTCACCAAGTTATCTACCATCGCCCCCAACAAAACGAGGTGCAACAAGGTATCCACAGACTAGGTGGCCTCTACACCATAAGGATCAATGATTCTCCAATTGTAATGCTCTGGATCCGAATTGTAGAAAATCTTTTGATTTAAACCAGTTTGCAAGACTTTAAAATGCACTGTGTAATGAAGAAATGATCAATTTCCAGTGCAAAAAAATCATGTAAAACGTCAAGGAAGTGGGAGTTCAATTCAACCCCCTGCTACATTTTCTGGTATTTAGTACTGGGTACCAAACCCATGGCTAAGTATTGACTGCTGCAAACTTTGAATGAAGAGATTTGAACATACACTTTCTCCCCTTGTTTAGGCATGTGGAGGTGCCCAAAGCTGAAATGCAAGTAATTGGCAAGAGACCAGATCAAGAGTGCAACAAACATAGCAGCAAAAACAAGCTCCATTGCAGTAACAATTCCCAGAGGAGCCATCACAAGCACTGGGCGTTTCCATAAGGCCAGACAGCCGCTCCGAGTCGATCTGCAACCAGTTCAAGTAACAACTAAGTTGTGCTAATTTCATTTTTTCAAATTTGCAAGAAGTAGAACTGCAAAAGAAAAACAAATAACAACATGAATTCAGCTCAGATTTCTGTTCATTACATGTCAGAGTGAGATTTCTTTGATTTCTGTTGAAGATGGAGATAGACACATCCCAGAGCAGCTATGAACATCATGGGGAAAGTGAAAAGAAGAAGATTTGTTCCTGTAAAAGTAGTGCATTAGTGTACAATATCTTTGAGAAGCCGAAAGAAAATTTTCAACATGAAGCTGGTGAGCACCACATATAGAGACACAAAACAGTAAGCGCACACACGCACACACACACAGAAGCAACCTTGCCCTCCAAAATATGTTGAATTGAGCTTGTTATTTAGCTTGGGAGTCCAGTTGCTTTTGTAACTTTTTGATGGCAACATAACCCAGACCATGAGCCACCCAAGGAACATAAGAAGGAACATCATCCTCAAGACTGCAAGGCTGTTCATCTTCTTTTTGATAAGTATACCCAATCCAATTCAACTTCTTGATTAGCAGAAAAACATGTAATGATCTATTTATAGAGTAGCATAGCCTTGTATTGTGTGTCTTCATTATGAATAAGAGTAATGCTAGAGTAAGAAAAAAAAGACCAAATTGAATGACGTGTCACTGCAACAATGATGATTTTAGTTTCATTTTTATACTTTTAAAATTTAAGATTCTTTCACCACGTCCATTGTCATATCATTTGACCACTATTTTTAGTCCACCTTTGTACGCCCAATTACAAAGAACCAGCTTGTTTCATGCATATCTACTTTACCATGTAGAGATAAAGCTCATTTTGCAGGATGGATGTTTACAGAACAGGTCAAAACACCCGCATTGCAATGTCTTTACTTAACAGGAAGAGCCACACATAATTATGGATTTTGTTGAGGATGACAATAAAGATTGATTGAGACCGAAAGAATGTTCAAATGTCACTGATGTATGTCCAAAAAGGTTCATCATTGAGAGAATATGATCTGTGACCCTCATAAAGTGGTGATTCCTTCCACGAACTTCTAAGGATGTACACAAGCTCATCCTGCGTGCGAAACTCTTTTATGTATTTTGAATAATCTTAATAATTCATGATGTGTCCGGATTGACAAACATGTAGGCAAAATCATTTATAGAAACTGAGAATCAACCCATCAAAATGTCAGATGCATCTGAACATAAATTACTTCCTTGGTCCTTCAAACTGAGTTGTACCATGAATTGAAAAATAATACAGAGGTCTGATGTGTCATTTCTTCTAAATCAAGTAGGCATCAGTTTAATTAATCCCATTATTTATACAAAGTTGCAGAGACTTCCATTCTGCAATGGTACTACAATGCAAGTACAGTTGACTTCAGATTTTGCATGTCATGGAAGTACAGTGCGGAGAGTACCATGTACCAGTTAACATCACATGTAGTAAATGATACAGTGAATACTCTCTCTCTCTCTCTCTCTCTCTCTCTCTCTCTCTCTCTCTCTCTCTCTCTCTCTCTCCTGTAGTTGACATAACTATAATGAACATCAAACTGTAAACTGGGTAACATCCAGAAAAAAAAAAAAAAAAGAAAGATTGATTGTTGATGCATGACAAGATTATCTGGATAAATCAAGCCATAAATTTTTTGGCAAATGATACAGAAATCTACAACTCTATCCTCAGTATATCTGAAGCTACATGTGTTTAAGAACAAGTACTCCAAAACCAATGCCAAGGAATGTTGCAATGGAAATTCCAAATATCCCTGCAAGAATGGCAGGAACTACCAAAGAACCCCATCCTTTGGCTGTGGCCATTCCACATGCTGTTGTTGGGCCTCCGACATTAGCATTTGATGCCAAAAGTAACAGCCTTAGATCAAGTCGGAAGAGCTTTCCCAATCCAAGGATCACAATCAGATGGACGGTTACTTGAACAAAAGCAAACATAAAAATACTAGGCGCCGTGTTGATGACATTCCATATGCTCCCACTGGCACCCACTACAGCAAAAAATACCTGTAGTGGTAGAATGAAGGATAATAAGCTAAAATTATTAGACAAGAAAAATATAAGAATTCAATCTGTACGAGTTCTAGAAGAAAATTGTGATTGATATGCGATGAAGTAATCCTGACAGAACAGTGGACCTTTTTGTGACCATATGCCTGGAAATCTAAGAACATGCAAGAGCAGTATTTTACTTGATTGAGGAAGAAACAAATAACTGATTAAACTAACAATGTTGCCATTCAAAAATAGAATATGTCAGCACTGATTAAATCTTTTTAGGTAAAAAAAGTGTAAACATGATGATTAAAGCTTATAGACTTGCACCAAAGATTTATGTACGATAGAGAAAAGGAACTGACAATCAGATCAAAGTCGGATGTAATTTGAAAACTGGAGGTTATTTGCATTCCCCCGGAAACACCAGCCTAGATCAATATTCAATATTTCAATATTGCTGCACCGAAGTGACTCAAATAGCTTAGACATGGTTCATAATTGAGAAAATAAGCAGTGTGAATACACGCCACAGCCAAAGAAAGACGAGGGATAGTCGACCAAAAATGGACACTAGATACTTTTCCAGAGATCTCCTCCAAAGCATTGGTATGACAATTGAATCTCACAACCAACCGGGTACAAAAGATCCATAGAAAAGAAAGAAGTAATAGTGGCATATGTTTATCAATCCAATTACGCGTACCACAAAATTACGTACAAACAGGATGCATAACTTATCTAAATAATTTTTTCAAGGCTTGCAACTATTTTTTCACTTGGATAGGATTTATAACATATCTAAAATATGTTTCATACACATAACCTCTTAACAACATTTTTTTATTATATACGAATACATGTTTTTACTTGGTAATATCTTTTGTAATTAATAGGCCATTAAAGTTATTGACTTTCTTTTAAATTTATGGATAATACAATTCTTGTTAGATTATAAGAAATCTGTTTTTTCAGAGTTGTGGCAAACTTATGATATTCTGCTTGTATTTCGTCACTATACCTGCTTGTATTTCGTCGCTATATAGTTGACAGGAAAAATCTACTAACGGGCCCTGTACAAATATATTGATTGGAAAAGTACATAGTATCAAGATCAAAAACATCAAAGTGTGCTACAGTTAAGAAGACCATGGAATTTAAAATTTTATTGTGCACAAATTTACTTGAGCATAGAGAGTGGTCAGCAATTGTAGTAGTAAACAAAATATTAGAAGCTTTTCAGGAAAAACAAAAAAGAAACAAAAATATTATAAGCCAGTGGTACTATTACATGTCTCTGGTTAACAGGAATATCAGAGTATCATCACAGATATATCACTATTATCAGAAATGTTGTTCTAGATATTGATGGGAATGGAATCAGAATACTTCGATATTTTTTTGATTAAGAATACTTTGATATTGATGTTGAAGCATCTCGCTAACCGTAACAAACAAATATTGAAATAGGTTCCAAATATAAGTAAGGTTTTATTGCATATATGGTGGAAAGTAACCAAATAGAAAATGTTTCAGGTACCTGCATCAAGACTACAGCAATAACCTCACCAGCAGAGGCAAGGTCGCGAAAATGTGTAGGAAGCAAAGTTGCTAAAACCACAACAATTGCAGTAACTGCAGGAAGATCAGCTCCTTGAATTCCAAGCAAATTGGTAAGACCGGTGGCAGCTTTGCAGATAACAAAGGAAACAGCAAGAGCTGTAGCAGTCTGTAGCACAGAGACCTTGCTTTGAGAATCAGACTCAATATCTGTGGTGGTAGTATCTGCAATATTTTAAACATAATTAAGCACATATGCTAGATATAATAATAGGTACCCCCTTCAGCATTAAGTACGTTGTGCAGTGAAGAAAATATATGATTGTATTGTTATCTAAAGAAGAAAACAATACTTGTTATAGTTCCTCATAGATGAAAGAAATAAAAATTACAGGGCAACGGAGCCAATATATAAAATCACTCTTAAAATGACGTCTTCTAATAGGTTAAATACTACTTACTAATTGTTGATGTTGAAGCTTCCAAAGGTAGTTTGGAGCCTAATGCAAACAATACAATAAAGTATATAGCACAAATGACATTATCCACAGTAACACCTGCAGCCAAAACTGATGGAGAAACACCAAGCGCCTCTGAGATTGCAACATAATTTAGAGCTACAAAAAGAGAAACAAAATTTGGTTATAATGCATGTTAAAAAAAAATGGGTTATGATGCTGAACATGGAGAAAGTCTCGCCTTATGCAAAAGAATATCTAAGATATTGAATGTCAAATGAGACAATAGCAAAGCAGAACAAAAAACATTTTTCAAAAAAAAAAAGAAAAAAGAAAAGCTGCTGAATCTCTTAATTCAAAGGAGGAAAAGTTGTATATATTATAACATATCCCAGATATCTGGCAGACAAGATTCCATTAAAATGTGCTTCACCAAAATAAAATAAACATTTGATCAACAGCAAAAAGTTACTGCACTCCATGCCAAAAGTAGGTAGTGCGTGACATATGGAATGATTCTATAATTAAAGGGAACTTATTTGTGTATATTTACTACTGTTCACAACAAAATTTACACCTACCAAAGAATATGATAAAATTTTAGGTCACGAGCACGGCTATGCCACATCAACATAAGATCCTTGTAAAACCATCTTAATGTAGGCAGGGCAAGTTGAAGGTTTAAGTGAACCTCAAAGTCTCATTTTACCAATCCCGAGTACAATGTCTCTATCGGAATTATACAGAGGAATGTTTCTATCAAATTTTAACAGAGATTTGGATGTCTCTAGAAATTAGTAAGCTCTTGGCAGGAGGAATCCCAATGCCAAAACTGGAAAACTCTTGTATGAAAAACCAGATGTATGGATCATTCCTGGTGCTTCTCCACTAACATCTATTGAACAACATTAGATTCCCTTCCAACAAATATCTATTGGAGAATGGTGGTCCCATCAACATTAAGAAAAAAAAATCAGATGAACATCAAGCAAAGCCTCTCAATAAGACGATCTGATAGTTAACAGATACCACTGATGGATAATGGATGCCAAGAATTTATTGCTACTGACTTGATACGTCAAATGATTAAAATCCTGCAATTTCAAATGTTAAAGTCATTCCATAAATTAGACCCCCAAGTCTGTTAGAAGAAATGTATCGCACAATCAACATTTCTCAACAAATTACCTCCTCCAATATAACTACCCATGAGAGCAGCAGCTATTTTCCAACTATCTTGACCAAGTGATCGCATAGGTACTATCAGGAACGCCACTACAGTTCCAACTATAGTCCCAACTGTCACGATAAAGAATAAATATATCATAGAGAATCATAAGTGGATGCACACACCAAGCTAATTTAGATTACTTAAAATTGGACAGCTTTCATGTGTATGAACTTAGATCAAGAATGGATACAAATTATTTGAGCCTGACTATCTATTGGCAGTAATTTGCCCACGTGCAGACAAACCAATGTAGAACTTGAAGATCATACACATTTCCAACTTCTAGTAGGATCAATTGCACATAAAAGTTGCGTATAATACCATGTTCTTAGTAACACAAGATGGTTTCATATTATTTATCCTCCGATTTTTCCTTTAACAAGGAAAAAAAGGCAACATAAGAGATCAATGTGGGATTGCAGTTATACTCATACAGTTGATACTGATTGTGTAATTTTATTTCAGAATCTGACAAGGTATTTTCAAATGCGACCAGTTTCCTTTGATTCAACATAATTGATCTATATTAAACACAAATTCCTGGTTGCATAGTGATTTGAAGAGCACAACACTACTTATTTCCCCTTTTCATTCGTCTGGTAATTTGCTATGCCCGTTGTTGTCTTCTGCCTCTTATTTTATTTGATTTTATCACTGCCCTGCCATTAAAATCTAATAAAATTAAAAAAAAATAATAGAATATGAGGGTAGAATAAATGTACTTATTGGCATCACCAATTGGTTTTTGAATGAAAGTGTATGTCAGTTAAGATTTCATATTCTTGATTGTGGACAAGAATGACGCAAGTGGCAATTGGAAACACTGTTAAGGAGAGAGAAAGGAGGTGAGGTTTTAGCAGAGTCCTGCTGCCATCCAGATTCCAGAAAGGCAAAGCATACAGTACAAAAACCAAAAAAATAGGCAGGTTCCCAGCCATTTATTAGCCAAGAAAGGGAAAATCATTACAGAAAGAACAAAGAAACCTTTGCTAAAAGAACCATCCACAAGGATACGCTGGTTTGTGGGGTACAAAGGGTAATCAATCAAGAATACGTTAGTTTAGTATAACATGCCAAAGCTGGAACCAGATTTGAAACCATCTGTGTTCTTAGCAATGCATAATCCCAGTCGTTAAGCAAAATATGCTCCAAAGATGATAGAAATTTTTTTGCAATAAAATAAAAGAAACAAAAGAGTAACTTTAAAATTACCAAACATATGAATGCAGAGTTGCTTACAAGATTCAACACTAATTAGGCCTGTGACTCTCTGTTCCACAAGTAAGATCCATTAACCAAGCATACCTCCATTCATAACCTACAAGACTATCCAATTTGTCAGCTAGCCTAGAATGATATTCAGACTTGTAGTCAGACTAATTGAAAGAATAGTAGCTGTACATGAATGGATAGGAAACAAAAAATAAGGTACTATACTTCTATACAACATGGAGGTTGCTGGTTCTCTTTTGTCAATTTAAACCATGGTTTCTAGATCATATAAGTGGAGCAACCAATGAAAACCACTTCATCACTATTATAGCGCACATCATGAATTCTCTTGCATCACCATCGAGGACATTCCAAATGCTCACTGTAACGATCTCAAATTGAGCTGATTCTTGAGGCATTTTAAAAAATATTTCAAACCCTACAAAATTAATTGTAATCAAAATTCATGAATCAACTTCTATCCTCTAACAAGGTTGAAATTGGGATGCAAGTTTGGTGCATTAAATCCTCGGCGTCCACACAGAAAAATAATTTCACACTACTTTAGTATTTTGGTGCCGCTAAGACAATGCTTTGACCAATATGTCCCGGTTCCTAATTCTAGTGCTCTGCATTAAACAGGTATGCCAGACATTGAGGTATTGAGGACTTCCCACAGTTTTTACTTCCAGATCCTTCAATTGCCTTTTGAAATTGTTTCAGCAAGATATCTAATTTAACTAAGAACCTGCTTGCATGTGAAGGAGACCAGCCTGACTCAAACGTGCCAGAGGTGATGGAATCAGTCATAAATACACTTAGTTTTGTACAGTGAAGACCCAAATTTTAGCTCCAGTAAAGCATCCATTTTTTTAGCAACCAACAGTTAATTCATCCATTGAGCTCTGTATATGTTTTCTATGCAACCAAACTGAACAAAGTAATATTTTAGGGGGGAAGTTGCATCTTTACAATGCCATCACAATTCACAGCAGTAAGCAACACTCTAAATTCTAATCCCATCTCGATTTCATAGGCATACATAAGAGACGGCAGAACTAAAGCTAAAATCCCAAAAGTAAATGATTCAGAACAGGAAACCATTTTTTTTTTTTTGAACACTAACAGGAAACCATTCACCACTCATAAATTTAGGCCCCATGGGAAAGGGAACAAAGTGATCCTGAGAAGTATGTCCTCACCTGATCCAAGCAAGAAGGCCAAGAGCAGAGTGCCTGTTGACTCTATCACATGCCTCAGGTCTGCTCTAAACAACAGCAACGGAATAGTTAATGGTAGCAGATATTCCAACACAATTGAGTATGCAGGTGCTGCATAAGGAACAATCCCCATGTTACTGGCAGCAAGCGCAACCAAAGTACTCACCAATGCAGCACTTACCATGCTCCCAATCTTGGTCTTCTCCGACCTATAATACCAAATCAAGAATCAATCTGAACAGAAGAAATAGAATTGACTACTCTAATTAATGAAATGTTCAAATTATACAAAAAACTCGCGCACCAACGAGCACAAATCGTTGTCTGAGGCCCCAGTAACAACAAAAACTCTTTCTGCAAACTACGCATTAGAGTTATAGCTCATTAACCTTTCTTTTTCTACTGGTATTTTCTCGGCAACCAAACGGAACAAAGGAATTGACCAAATTTCATAAAGGCAAATCCCAATGATGAGTGAATTGAAAATTGTACCAATGCAAGAGAGATGGAGTTACCAGAGACCGAAAGCGCCGGTGGCGAAGAGAGCAGCCCATGTACCCCAGTGGTCTTGCGGTGAGACTAGAGGAAATTTCAAATGAGATCTGACCGTTACAGATCGATTTGAATCGGCACTCTTCGGAAAAATCTGACAGGTTTTGGAGTGAAACGATGGTTTGAATATGCACCAGGTCGTTGAGAATGTACAGGTGTTATGGCGGGAAGAGAGAGAAGCTAGTTGAAGTGAGGGTAACGTTGACAGCGACGGAGAGAGAAGAGTGAGTTGTAAGGGCGAAAGTGAAGACGCCATTGATGGGGAGCTCAACTAGCAGCAGCAACGACATTGCCGAGGTTGAAACTTTTACCGAAGAATGGTTTATCAGCTTCGTTTGTCGTTGTGGTTTGTCTTCTTTCAAATGATGCTGACGTGGAGAGACCTACGAATGAGTTATATGAGTCTTATGATTTTATTTTTTTTTGGGTAAACGACGTGTATTATTTTTAAATTATAATTTTTATGTCAGTTAAGTTTATGAAGTTTTTTTTGTGTCAATTGGGCTTTGAATACTTTAATTATGTCAATTAAGTTTCTAAACATTTTTTTGTATTAATTATATTTTTAAATTATTTAATTGTGTCAATTGAATCATTCTGTTTACCCTCGTTAAAGTGTGTCATACACGTGATTATATGACACAAAAAGACTCCATCAACATAATTAGAGAAAAATTTAAAAGTTTAATTTATACAATGGTCNATTTTTTTTTTTTTGAACACTAACAGGAAACCATTCACCACTCATAAATTTAGGCCCCATGGGAAAGGGAACAAAGTGATCCTGAGAAGTATGTCCTCACCTGATCCAAGCAAGAAGGCCAAGAGCAGAGTGCCTGTTGACTCTATCACATGCCTCAGGTCTGCTCTAAACAACAGCAACGGAATAGTTAATGGTAGCAGATATTCCAACACAATTGAGTATGCAGGTGCTGCATAAGGAACAATCCCCATGTTACTGGCAGCAAGCGCAACCAAAGTACTCACCAATGCAGCACTTACCATGCTCCCAATCTTGGTCTTCTCCGACCTATAATACCAAATCAAGAATCAATCTGAACAGAAGAAATAGAATTGACTACTCTAATTAATGAAATGTTCAAATTATACAAAAAACTCGCGCACCAACGAGCACAAATCGTTGTCTGAGGCCCCAGTAACAACAAAAACTCTTTCTGCAAACTACGCATTAGAGTTATAGCTCATTAACCTTTCTTTTTCTACTGGTATTTTCTCGGCAACCAAACGGAACAAAGGAATTGACCAAATTTCATAAAGGCAAATCCCAATGATGAGTGAATTGAAAATTGTACCAATGCAAGAGAGATGGAGTTACCAGAGACCGAAAGCGCCGGTGGCGAAGAGAGCAGCCCATGTACCCCAGTGGTCTTGCGGTGAGACTAGAGGAAATTTCAAATGAGATCTGACCGTTACAGATCGATTTGAATCGGCACTCTTCGGAAAAATCTGACAGGTTTTGGAGTGAAACGATGGTTTGAATATGCACCAGGTCGTTGAGAATGTACAGGTGTTATGGCGGGAAGAGAGAGAAGCTAGTTGAAGTGAGGGTAACGTTGACAGCGACGGAGAGAGAAGAGTGAGTTGTAAGGGCGAAAGTGAAGACGCCATTGATGGGGAGCTCAACTAGCAGCAGCAACGACATTGCCGAGGTTGAAACTTTTACCGAAGAATGGTTTATCAGCTTCGTTTGTCGTTGTGGTTTGTCTTCTTTCAAATGATGCTGACGTGGAGAGACCTACGAATGAGTTATATGAGTCTTATGATTTTATTTTTTTTTGGGTAAACGACGTGTATTATTTTTAAATTATAATTTTTATGTCAGTTAAGTTTATGAAGTTTTTTTTGTGTCAATTGGGCTTTGAATACTTTAATTATGTCAATTAAGTTTCTAAACATTTTTTTGTATTAATTATATTTTTAAATTATTTAATTGTGTCAATTGAATCATTCTGTTTACCCTCGTTAAAGTGTGTCATACACGTGATTATATGACACAAAAAGACTCCATCAACATAATTAGAGAAAAATTTAAAAGTTTAATTTATACAATGGTCATAGTTTAAGTATCATATGTATAGTTTATTCCAACCATTTTGTATCACGTGAGTGACACACTTCATTATTTTCCATTAAAATAGATAAAATGTCTCAATTGACACAATTAAAAAATTTAGGAACTCAATTAATACAAAAAAAAAAGACTTAATTAACAAAAGGGTCATAGTTTAAGTGACATATATATAATTTAATCTTTTTTTCCAACCCTTATAGTGTGAATATTCGGGTCAGTGTATCCACACTGACTAATTTTCTTTCGATTCAGACAAAGTATGTCATTAACGTTAAAATTATGATATTCATGACATGACTCTAAAAAAACAACAAAATTCAAATTCAAAATATTTGAATTTACAACTCATTTTTGTCATCATTTAAATCCTCTCGGCCAATGTCTCCCGAAAATATTATTTTTTTTCCCAATGTTTTGGGTTGTTGGTCCAATTATAGGTTTTTTATTTATATATCAATGGCCTTAAAAAAATATATTATTTAGATCTAATTTAAAAACTTAATATGAAACCAAATTCATTATAATTGTTAGATTAAAAGATATTAGAATTCATAATTAATCTAATCACAATATTGAATTAACTAACCAAATTAAGTCTCTATAACATTTATCTTCAATCACTCAAACCTATCACTCTTAGAACATAATATAACAATTTTATTGTTTCGTCAAAGTTCGCCCTCACCCTCAATAAGAGGATGATGGCATTATTAACTGAACAAGAGAACAATAATATATCTTTGGTTTTTCTCTAATAACTTGTAACAACGACGTGTTCCTCAAATCCTACAGAATTCAGCATGGAGTGTGAACATGATAGCTGGGGTTTCCGAAACTTATTTTACATGTATTTAAGAACTTTCGCCCCAAAAGCAATACCGAGAAAGGTTGCAATCGAAATACCAAATATGCCAGCAAGAATGGCAGGGACAATCATAGATCTCCATCCTTTTGCAGTGGCCATTCCACCAGCTGTTGTTGGGCCTCCAACGTTGGCGTTTGATGCCAAAAGCAACAACTTGAGGTCGAAGCGAAACAGCTTGCCCAAGCCAAGGATCACAGCAAGATGGACTGCAATCTGGACAAGAGCGAATAAGAAAATACTGGGTGCGGTATTGATGACATTCCGTACGCTCCCACTTGCACCCACCACAGCGAAAAATACCTGATTCTCGGAAACAAGTTAGAGAAACCGAGTCAGCTCTGCTATGAAAATTGGAGCTTAGCAAATCATTCTATGCATACATAACCACAATGACGATTTCAAGAATGCGTAATTAATTGTAGAGTTGCTAAAAACCACCTAATAATTGATGTAGTCTCCCCTACCACACTATGCTTACAACTGAAGTGACAATTTTGTAAGCAGTTACATTTCCCTACCAATAAGCATCCATCTTTTTCCCCTTCGGTAACTACCCCCTCACATTCTCTCACCATAGGTGCTCATCTTCTACTTTAAACTACACGCTTACCAAATATTGCACACGGTTTTCACATAGAATGATTGTAATGCTGCAGTAAGATACATTTCACATGCACATCACATTCAAAACCATAAATAATGGAGCTGAAAAAATGACCATTAAATTTGTTTTTAAATGTACCTGCATCAGTATCAATGCCATAGCTTCACCAGAAGGTGCAAGATAAGCAAACTGTTTCGGAAGCGTAGTCGCTAAAATAACGACAATTGCTGTAATGGCTGGAAGGCTACCTCCTTGAATCCCAAAATACTTCGTGACGAAATTGCCAATCTTGCAGATGGCAAAGGATACAGCAAGGGCTGTGGCAGTCTGCAGCACAGGAATCTTGTTTCCTGATTCTGATTGCATATCCAGTCCGACATCTACAAAAATTCCAGATTTAATCAGAGGCTACAATCATAAAATGACACAATTTCGTTCATGCCTATACCATCTTGTTTTATGCCTTTCTTCGTCTTCTTTCCTTTACCCACATCTATGATTCTATGGCATAGAAGGTGGCCAATAAGCCATCCGGTTGTCCCTATAGGGACACATTTGATGCATTAAGGTCTTTGTTATTGAGAGCTTGATATATATTGTTAGGCTCATCCTATTTCAACTTATGCTATTAGAATAATTGGTAGCTTTGATACCTAAAATATGAGATCTTGGAATCCATTCTCTTCATGTACATTTTGTTACTGCCGAATTTTGGTTTTTTGCGTATATCAATGCACACTAGGTTGCTTGTGTTCCTCATTTGAGTACACTTCATACTTGGAGGGGGGTATTGGGAACTAGATATCCATTGTTTAAGGCCATTCATTGACAGTCTAAGCTGTTAAAGCAATTGGTAGTCTGACATTTTTAAAAATTCAATATTTAGATTGGGCAAATAAATAACATAAACAAGGGTAAAATTGATATTTTGCAAAGGAATAACATAAACAAAGGAAAATTAGTTGACAGATGATGGCTCTAAAAAAGTCGATGGATTTTTATCGAAAGAGGGAAAAGGAATCAAACTGACATATTTTACATACCAAGAATCTAAAATGCAGCAAAGAACTGCATGGGAATGAATAGTGAAGGATTTAAAAAGAATTTCACAGATCAAAAGTGCATATCATACATAAAGAAGCTTGATCAATAATCATCCATCTTGACAGATGGGTTCAGAGTCAATCATGTGATAATAAAGTAGACTACCACATACCAGTGGTCGCTGTTGAGGCCTCAGGTGGTATCTTAGAAGCTAGTGCAAACAATGATGTGAAATATACTGCACAAATAACATTATCTGCAGCTAGTCCAGCAGCTAAGACTGAAGAAGAGACGCCGAGAGCTTCAGAAATGGCAACATAATTGACAGCTAAATAAAAACAGAAACAAAAGCTTCATCAGCCATGATAGAAAGCAGCAAAAACATATCCGCATACTTGACCAACATGTCAAAATTCATTTATTCATTAAAGGAAAGAAAAAAAAAACAGTATAGGGCAATAAGTACGTTCCCAATGTCCTTTACAGCTCCAGAAATTAGAAAATGTTCCAACCTTAAAAACATCTTATCACTATCTATGCCTGCTCTATCTCTTTGACTAACTGGTTCCTAGTTCCTACTATAACTGCCAATTGCACTAAAGGAATGGTGGCAGTGAAGGTATGAGGCCAATTTGATCTCAAGAGGTTTTCATCACTGTTGTTAAATTGCTGATTAGTAACATATAAAAGATCCTCATCATATCCTATATATTCAACAAACCACAGATCCTTCCTCTATCCTTCATCCAACAAAAAATTAAACAATTACAACTAGTCCATAGGAAAATAAGCAGTAAACTGGATTGTATACTCCCATTAAACAGGACAGCCATTTGAAATTCCTTTATTCAATCAACATAAAATCAGCATAAAAAAATGTTGTGATCCACAATAAATCAAAAATGGGCACAATGAACAATGACCAATGGCCTGAGGCTTTGATATGTCAATCAGAATTACTGACAACATGTAACAATCCCTCTTTCCAATTACCTCCACCAATATGTCTACCCATTAGTGCAGCGGCTATCTTCCAACTATCTTGACCGAGTGATCGCATGGGCACCATCAGAAAAGCCACAACAGTTCCAATCGTTGTTGCAACTGTCATACAAAAATAAAGCACACTCACGTTAAGAACTTTAGAACTTACAAGACTTGAAAACAAGTCAACTCCAATAATCTCTGCTTTGCCATTAAGAACCATTATGAACATTTATGTTGGAAACTATCAGCCTAAAGTCTTTGATCAGCTAGCATACTACAAATAGAAGAAATCCACAACTTTACCCTATTTGCGGAGGATGCACAAGAAAGATGAAAATATGAATATACAAATCCGGAGATTTTACTTTGGACTGAATATGTGATTGAAAATCACAATACTTCTTATTTTCTGTTTATATGGGTCCCATAATGTGATGTGGCCATTGACCTCCTCCACCTCAAGTTTTCATATTCTATCAGGTCTTAACTACTACATGTTGACATTACCATGCTGTAATTACATAGAAAACAGGTAAATAACATGTAAAGTAAAAAAGTTGAGATTGCCAAATTTTGAGATTTTCCTGGCTCTTGCATATCCTTATAACTCGCGTGCATGACCACCTCCACCAAGCTTTTCACAAATGTTGGTTCCTATCCTGTACATTTTTCAGATTTGGAAATGCCTCAACTTGCAAGGTATTTTGGGAAATGCTCTAAGAATCTCATCAAACAATCAGGAAAAACAAAGATAAGCAATTATGCCTTCCGGTTTAAGATGATTGGTATCTTTCACATTACAAGAAGAGTCTGGTTATAGGGATCCATGCACTATGGTTGAAATTCTCCACACAAGAATTATACAACTCTGGTTGCATTCAATTATAGTTAAAATTCGCACGAAAGCTTGTCAATTATGTTATTGAATGTTGAAACCTTGAATGAAAACTAAAAGAAATATCTTCTTTCTCTCAGTAACTAGTTTTCTTCTCCCCGTGACCTTTCTCTAATTTGTCACTACTTCCCCCACCCAGGAGTTTCGTTAAGGAATTTTTGTTGTAAGATTTTGAAAACTGCATACTGCATTTATGTTTGAAAAGTGAACCCAATCACACAAGTCTGCTCCCAATAATAAAAATAAGTCAAGTGATAAGTTGATAACAGTATTCTCCACTTTCCGCAACAAAATTTTCCAGTAGCAAGACCAACCAGTTTTGACTCTTATAACACTACATTTTCAATTTCTAATGATTCCATAAGTCTATAACTATTACCTGATCCAAGCAAGAAAGCCAATAGCAGTGTGCCAGTCGATTCTATTACTCTGCGCAAGTCTGCTCTAAACAACAGCAATGGCACAGCCAGTGGGAGCAGAAATCCAAACACAATTGAATATGCCGGTGCTTCACAAGATATAATCCCCAAATTACTTGCTGCAAGGCCAACCAAAATGCTCACTAAAGCACCACTCAATGCACTCCCAATCTTGGTCTTCTCTGACCTTGATTCAATAATCATAAATCAAGTTGGAAAAACTTATACCTAATCTTTCTTTTATTACAGTGAAATTAAGAAAAGAAAAGGGAAAAATAACCATATTTGGCACCAAAGAAAACCATCAGTATGTACGTTACTGAGCACAGTACAAGAACTTAAGTAGGACAACTTTTTTTTATTCTCCGGAGCAAAGATATATAAGTAGTCAACGCAATGGCGGACCCCAGAATTCACCTTTTTTTTCCCAGCGGAGCCAAACAATGAATGAAGCAGGCAAAAGTTTTACTTTCTTTCGCTCAAATTTAATGGGAAAAAGGTAAAACTAGGTTATCTTTGTATGGAGAGAGAGAGAGAGAGATACCAAATGCCAAAAGCGCCGGAGGCGAAGAGAGCAGTCCAGGTGCCCCATTGATCTTGTGGAGAAATCAGAGGAAAATTCAATTGTGATCTGGCTGTAACAGGTCCAATTAACCTAGGTTTTTTATGGAAAATGGGAGGTGAGGTCAAGGCGTTTTTGTCTTTGCCAAGGAACAATGATGAATGTTGAGATTGAGGTAGTACAGAGACAATTGTTGAGAAGCATGATCGTTGTACCGGTAACGGCAGAGAACGGCTCGGCCGTAAAACCAAAAACTTGGACGCCATTATCGGCAACCGCCGGCGATCTCAGCTCTGACGGAAATGATAAACGCAATAGCTTTCAATTTTACTCTAGGCGTACGTAGTCGGAATGAGTAGAAAGCTGCAAAAGGCTGCCAAAGATTCGGGTCTGTCAACTGGATAGTCCAAAAATAAAGACCACAATAGTCCACTCACTGAATTAAATAAAAAATCACATCCACAAAATTTAACAACCCATTAAAATTAGATGGGAGAATCGAGTTAACGCCAAGGAAAAAAGCGGTACTGAACCGCCAAAAATATGTGATTATTAATTTTTTGTCATTAAATATTATTTAAATATATAATTGTAAATTTTTTGCTATTAAATATTACTCACTAAATATAGGATCGATCGGATTAACTAAACTTTTTTTGTATGAATTAATGTTAATTTTAAGAATTTTAAATTTATAATTTTGAATGTTAATTTAATATAATTGAAGGTAAATTTAATGTTTTTTTTGATGAATTTGAGTATTAGTTGGATGAAATTAAAAATTAATTTCATAAAACTACATGTCAATTTAATGTAACTAAAAATAGGATCGGGACCAGTTCAGGAAAAAAAAAAGTTCGACTAGTCATAATCGATCATATTTAATTGGAATCACCAAAAATTTAGTTTGGTATAATTTTTGAACCATCAAATGCATTACGATCGATCTCATATAGTCATGATCGATCATAATTGAGTGAAAATCGCAAAAAAAAATTGGCATTGGGATCGATCCTAGATAATCATAATCAATTCCAATTGAGTAGAATCGCAAAAAAAAAAAAAATTGATATTGATATCAATCTTAATTAATCATGATTGATCATGACTACTAAATGTAATATTACTGCTTATAAAGGCAAAATTATTACTCTTGAGATAAAGTTATCACCTTTAAAAGTGAGGTACAAACTTTTTAGGTAATGTTACAACAATTGAAAGTAAAATTATCATCTTTGAAAGTGAGGTTATAATAATTAGTAATACTACACTGACCAAATGTATTGACCAAATATCCATCCCAAATGACATGACATCAAATAAATAAGCTCAAATCAACTATCATGTCATTTAGGATGGATATTTGGTCCCCAAATTTGGTCGATCTAACATTAATGTATAATCATTTGAGGGTAAATTATATTATGTATAAGTAAAATTATCATCTTTAAATGTTGGATTACAACTTTTTTATGTGAGATTATAACTATTTATAGTAAAATTACCACATTTGGATATGAAGTTATATCTATTTAAAGTTAGGTTATAAGCACTAAAGATAAAAATACCACCTCTAGATGTGAGGAGAACTTACAATCTTTTAAGGTAGATTTACAACCCTTTAAAGTAATGTAATTACATTAATAGGCAAAATTATCACATTTATTGAGTAATATTTAATGATAAAAAATTCATAGCCACATATTTGAATAATATTTAATGACAAAAAATTGATAGTCACATATTTTTGGCGGTACGGTACCATTTTTTCCCTAAACGATATCATAGACTCTCCCAAATTAGATTATGAAAATTTTAAATTTCATAAATATTTTAATTTTAGTGTGCATAATTTGTCTCTGATTGTATTTTAACTAACACAACATTCGCACAAACACTACAAATTTCATTTTCAACAACATTTCATCCACAGCTGAAGAGTATTTGATTTCAAAACAACAAATATTCCAAGGAGCCAACAGGGCCTTAGTCTGGTCACCTAGTCCAGCTACTGTTGAATATCCATGTAAATATGGCCTTCGTTGAATATCCATGTTCCCCAAACAAATACTAAAATACAATTCAAGTACAAATTAATGAACTAGGAAGTGATCAGGAAGAACTCTTCTGCACATCAGGGTATCTTGGCAGTTTCTTTGCCTATTATCAACACCGATAAGCAAAAGGTCAGAGATTATCAGTGCCAGAATTGTTTTCACTCTGTTTTTGCTTCTTCGTGCTAGGGCCCTCTTCCTCCATAGCTTTCAATTTGTTCTTTATTGCAGCTATTTTAGCACTTCGGTACATCTGTCCCGAACAGCTACTTGTAAGGCCTGATTTGTTTGCCTCACCAACTGCTTTGCCAGAATTCCCTGCCATTTCCAGCAAGTATTTCTCACTGGCAAGACGAACCACCAAAGGACGGCCACATACCAACTTCCCATGCATCTTCTCCTTGGCCAGTTTAGCTTCCTGCATGCTCACTTTAACAAACAGAAATCAGGAACTGCCAAGAGATAAGAAGGTCACAGTTAAGCAACTCACCTCTTTGGTGCTAAACTGAACAAAAGCATAGCCACGAGGCTCTCCGCGTTTAGGCCCACGAGTATGCCATAGAAAGTCCTCAGACACNCTACTAAATGTAATATTACTGCTTATAAAGGCAAAATTATTACTCTTGAGATAAAGTTATCACCTTTAAAAGTGAGGTACAAACTTTTTAGGTAATGTTACAACAATTGAAAGTAAAATTATCATCTTTGAAAGTGAGGTTATAATAATTAGTAATACTACACTGACCAAATGTATTGACCAAATATCCATCCCAAATGACATGACATCAAATAAATAAGCTCAAATCAACTATCATGTCATTTAGGATGGATATTTGGTCCCCAAATTTGGTCGATCTAACATTAATGTATAATCATTTGAGGGTAAATTATATTATGTATAAGTAAAATTATCATCTTTAAATGTTGGATTACAACTTTTTTATGTGAGATTATAACTATTTATAGTAAAATTACCACATTTGGATATGAAGTTATATCTATTTAAAGTTAGGTTATAAGCACTAAAGATAAAAATACCACCTCTAGATGTGAGGAGAACTTACAATCTTTTAAGGTAGATTTACAACCCTTTAAAGTAATGTAATTACATTAATAGGCAAAATTATCACATTTATTGAGTAATATTTAATGATAAAAAATTCATAGCCACATATTTGAATAATATTTAATGACAAAAAATTGATAGTCACATATTTTTGGCGGTACGGTACCATTTTTTCCCTAAACGATATCATAGACTCTCCCAAATTAGATTATGAAAATTTTAAATTTCATAAATATTTTAATTTTAGTGTGCATAATTTGTCTCTGATTGTATTTTAACTAACACAACATTCGCACAAACACTACAAATTTCATTTTCAACAACATTTCATCCACAGCTGAAGAGTATTTGATTTCAAAACAACAAATATTCCAAGGAGCCAACAGGGCCTTAGTCTGGTCACCTAGTCCAGCTACTGTTGAATATCCATGTAAATATGGCCTTCGTTGAATATCCATGTTCCCCAAACAAATACTAAAATACAATTCAAGTACAAATTAATGAACTAGGAAGTGATCAGGAAGAACTCTTCTGCACATCAGGGTATCTTGGCAGTTTCTTTGCCTATTATCAACACCGATAAGCAAAAGGTCAGAGATTATCAGTGCCAGAATTGTTTTCACTCTGTTTTTGCTTCTTCGTGCTAGGGCCCTCTTCCTCCATAGCTTTCAATTTGTTCTTTATTGCAGCTATTTTAGCACTTCGGTACATCTGTCCCGAACAGCTACTTGTAAGGCCTGATTTGTTTGCCTCACCAACTGCTTTGCCAGAATTCCCTGCCATTTCCAGCAAGTATTTCTCACTGGCAAGACGAACCACCAAAGGACGGCCACATACCAACTTCCCATGCATCTTCTCCTTGGCCAGTTTAGCTTCCTGCATGCTCACTTTAACAAACAGAAATCAGGAACTGCCAAGAGATAAGAAGGTCACAGTTAAGCAACTCACCTCTTTGGTGCTAAACTGAACAAAAGCATAGCCACGAGGCTCTCCGCGTTTAGGCCCACGAGTATGCCATAGAAAGTCCTCAGACACAATGTTTCCAAATGGAGAAAACATCTTAATCAGAGCTGCTCTGAACAGACAAAAGGAAGTTTAACGAACTAGAAACCCCAAAATATTTTGTCAATAGTGCAACAGAGAACTCAATATTGAAAGATTTTTCTTACTCTGTTATCCTCAGATCAAGGTTGCCAATGTATAGCCTGCTTTCACACTTCTCATCCACAAAATTATTTGGGTCCTGCAGTTGGTGATTACAACAGCCCAATAAGAAATTCTCATACGACACAATGACTGAGATGAGAGAATGCTATCCCATTGCCATACATGATTAATCACATGCTATGAACATCATTTGCTTCTATGATTAAGGAATGGAACATAGAATCACTGGGAAGTTAGACAGAACAACAACATTGAGGACCAAAACCAGCCACAAAGTAAAAATGTCCTTGGCAAAAATGTTTAACTTATGAAATATATTTCAAAAGTGGATTTCACTTTCTGGAATACATCCCAGAGTCAATTTTGTATCTAAAGGTTTGGAAAATCATGCAATGTTTGTCGTGAACCACACCCCGTATGGTTGTGTCCAGTAAAGGGTATAAACCAGCATTACTATAACACATACTCAATCCGGTGCATACCCCAAATGTTAAACACTAGGGCTTGCAGCAACTGAAAGAAGCCACCAAATGCGTGCTAGTTTCATAAATCCAAAGGAGAAAAGAATTATAGATTCTGTGAGAGCATGATATATCATATATATGCATGTTCATGCTTACAGCTGCTATGCAACGAAATAGAAGAACAAAAAGGAAAATGCACAATGAATAATGGCACTTAACCTACCATGCTACTTCGAAGGAATCCAATGGCAATTGATATACCAACCTACAAGAACAGATAAAGTAAAAAATATCAACGTCAACTGCAACCGCATTTACAAAAAGACAGACAGACAATTGTTCTTTCAAACACAGTAAACTACGCTTGGGAACATCATATATTCTTTCAACTAAAGCATAAGCTGAAAATAAAATATCAATGATCAGAAATTTTCAGATTTTGTTTATCTACAAAGTTTACAGGACTATTTATAATAGCATCAAGATAGAAACAAGGAAGCACCATAAAACATGTTTAGATATGCTTATGATATTATGATGTTACTATCGGAATTACAATACAAGCTTGCAATCAAAATTAAACCAGCTAGTTAATGCCTTCATCATATATCCATCCCCTTCCAACTTAAGACACAACTTCTGATGCTCCTAACCTCATAGGCACACGCAAAAGCATGGCGCCAGTGATGTTGTCAGCCTCCCTAAAGAGCGGGAGAGTGGAAGCAGTGTTATAAATTCTGCAACAAACCTGCCTTCAAAACACCAAAGCCACTCACACATCAAAGTTTCATCCATATCAATGAACAATCTCACAAGAGCAAATTCGACTCCACCAAGTGACACTCAAAATCCATCTTTGTTTGATTGCAAAAGATCGCACTTATCCATCATCCCACGGATACCAATTACCAAACGTGTGTCTAAGATAATTTTCCTGGCACACCCTAACCATACACTGAGGGTATGTACATATGCTTAGCCAGGCTAATCACTCATGAAAAAGGAGGGAGGGAGAGGGAGAGAGAGTAATGGGGCCAAGGAGGGCCAAAAAACTTGAAATCGTCCGGCAAACATCAACACCGTCAAACATGGTTGAATTAAACTTCTAATAATAAGAATATTGAAAAAATCCACTAACAAGGTCAACAGATTAACAGTAGTGGTTTCCCGATAGAGAACCTAGTTCTATTCAAATTCTGAAACAAATAAAATGCACACATCAACACATGCTAATCCCAAAAGTAGGCAAAAAACGGAGAAAACATCTGAAACAAGAAGAAATTACATTAAATCTTAATACTTGAAACCAGATAACCCTAGAAACAAAAGAACTCGAAATTTCGAGACTCGTGATTGAACAATCTTACTTGATTTACGATAATGAATGTTCGACGAGCGATTCGAAGGACCGGCCGAGATGAACAAAGTCTCAGGCAGGAATGGAGCTTGTTGCGGAGGAGAGAGACTAAGGACGATTGCTAAGGGTGCAATGCAATATTTCTCGATGTCCTCTCCGTATATTGGTCTCATCACAGAACCTCTGCTTCCTGGTCAGATGGGCTCAAGCCTTCCAAGCCCAAACAATTTTAACTCCAATTATCGGTATCGTGTCACTTACCATTTTCATTGAGTATTTATACCACTGTTTGAATAATATATATATATAATATATATATATATATATATATATATATATATATATTTTGTGTTTGATAGGATGGATGAAAAATAAAAATAACTATTTTTTTTTTGTGTTGGCTAAGAGTGACAATCGAGTCGTATTAAGTCATTATAAGTTTGTGTCAAATATTAATCAAACATATCTCAACTTATTTAATTAATTGTGTCGTGTCTAGTTGAGAGTTGACCTATTTATTTTCGTGTTGTGTTCGTACTCTTGTTGACTCACATAAACTTTGAATAAAAAATTTAATGCTAATATTCTATTTTTTAATTTTTAATTTTTTTTTATTTTTACTCTTAATTTTTTTTTTAAAATTTTTTTTTTAAAAAAAATATATATATATATATATAAATACATATTTTATCATTATATTTTTATATGAAATTAATATATGCATAATATATAAACAAATAAGATACATCTCAACACAAATAATTAACTTTTCATCCACTTTCCTTTCGCTTTTGGAGTAATTGATTTTAGTGAGTTGGAAGTAAAGTTAATTCATTCACTTTTCCATTCTTTCTATTTTTCTTTCTTATCAAATATAATATTTTATTTATCTCTCAAAATTTTCATCTTTCCATTTTTCAATCATACTAAATGGTGGTGTTAGGGTACACTCACTTTTTAAATTTACTTAATTATTTTTTAGATTCACTTGTCACTTTTTTTAGTAGAATTTTTCAATTTTGTTGGGTAGAATTTACTATTTTTTGTAGTTTTTTACTTTTCAATACTAAATCAAATAATTATTTTTCGGTAATGTATTGTTTTCCAAAGGGTTAATGTATACTTCCAAAATATTTAAGTGACTGTAACACCCCAATCTATTTAACAATATTCAGAGTGCTAATTACCTTAATAACGAATATATTGAATCTTCATTAAATATCAGAATCACTAAACACCTCAAAAATGAATAAATAACCTCTTGAAAACTGTTTAAATTACAATCAATCGAAATCTTTCATTCATTGATCAACTTGATTCTCCATCAAATTTTACTTCAAATTCAACCTGCAACTGAGAGGGTAAATGGGGGTGAGCTAGGGAAAGGTCAGTAAGTAATTTAAAACATAATATACGAAGTCAAATGACGAGACGATAATTTATCAACTAACCGATAATCGTTCGATGACATAAGAATTAATACAATAATTTACAGAGTACAAATATATTGAACAAGTCAATGAACTCGACCGTTTGAACAATCGAATCAACCATGATTGAACATTCGGTCAATCCCAACAAGAAGTTAGGAATCATTCGATGCATTTTTAATTCAATCATGTCCACCCCTCAAAGCCACGAACATGAATCACAATCATAACCATGCCACCGAGTATACTTCATGCACGAGTCAAAAAATCTCAAGTATTCCACCAAAGCTAATATCATAGCGATTAATGACAAGTCAAACAAAAATTATAATTGAATATCAAAATATCAACAATTGAAAGAAATATTATTTCGAAATTCAAACTCAAACGATATCACAATTTAAATACGAATAAGAAGATATCAATAAAGTGATTAAAGGAATGCATATCATGTATCAATAGTTGCGGAGCCACCCTTGGGCTAGGGTGGGCACATGACCCCCCTCAATTTTTTTTTTTGCTTCAAATTAAGTATGTATTTTTTAAAATAAAATTTAGACATATTTAATTATATTCACTCTAATATTGTGTTTTGGTGATATTGATTTGAATAGATCTTTACCTAAATGATTGTTAACTTTTAAAAAATCGTTATTGAAACCTAATTTAAGGACCCAATTGTCACAAATTATTGGGTCTCTATCAATTAAATCTCAAATTAAGTATAACTAATATAATTGTTAACTTTAAGACATGTTTTAAACATGTTCGAATATGTTTTGAACATATTGATGTTATTTTATAATTTTTTTAAATTGTAGAGTTATTTTGTTATTGTATAAAAATATGTATCTCGTTATGTAGTAAACTATAGAATCATAAATGAAAGATTGTTGCTGTGATTTTGTATATAAAAGAAATATTGTTGATAAAATTAATTTGTAACTCTTTCAAATAATAAAAACATATCAGGGTCACTATAAGAAAAGAGATTTTTTGCATCAGCAATTTGCTAATTCAAAAAATCACGTTGCTGTCGCAAAATTCAAAAGATCACGTTTCTGTCGCAAATAATATTTGCGACGACAACGTGATCTTTTGAGTCGGCAAATTAGGGGTGATAAGCAATAGGCGATGCAAAACATTTTGCATCGGCAATTAACCATCACAAAAGTTTTTGTATCAGCAAAACCCGATGCAAATGCGTCATCGCAAAAAAATCTTAGATCCGACATTTTTTGTTTGCATCAGCAATTTGTCGTCGTAAAAAAACTCAAGTGCATGGTTTAAATCCGTCGCAAAAAACCCTGTTTGTAACAATTAAAATCTGTTGGAAAAGATATTATTAGTTACAGTAGGGGACCGTCGCAACAAACTCATTTAAAATGGTTTTAATCCGTCCTAAAATATATTATTAGCCACAGTAAAGGACAATCTCAACAAACTCATTTACAATGTTTTTTAACCGTCGCAAACGATATTATTTGCTGCAGCAGAAGGCCAACGCAAAAAATATGATATTACTCTTTTAACGTTATTTGCGTCAATAACTTGCTTTCATAAATAATTTTTTTTTTAAAACCTAATTCTCCCTTTCACATGTTTCTCTACACTTTTTTATATATCCAATAAATTACCCATAACATCATTTGATTAAAATAATAAAACACATCTTTTAAAACAAAAACATCTAAATTTAAAAATAAAAATATATTTAGTGTAAGTAAATAGCATCCAAAATTTTAAAAACAGAATATTCTAAACTATGTAATTAAAGTGTCAATGCATAATTAAAAAAAAAAAATAGTCTCCCAATGCACCATTTGCTCTATAATCATGTACAATGTGTACTCTCTACCCATGCGTCATCTACTCTTTGCACTTGCGTCATCTACTCTCTGTACTATTTATTCATTTGATAACACCTGTAAAAGATATGATTTGTGTTATTATTGTAAATAATATATTTAGTTGCTAATTATATATATATATTAATTAAGATAAAACACACATCACTAGACGACCAAACAACACTTTTTCCATTGTCTGCTCAACAGTAATTATACTAGGAAAATGTCTTATCAAATAAGTATTAGGCATTATTGCTTCCTCAACATAAACGTTCGAAAAATCAGGTCCCAATGGTATGTTCTCAACTTCTTTGGATGAGTCCACACTAAGAAGAATTCCCTTCACCACTATTTGCCTAGGTAAATGGGAACTAATCAGGTCTACTTTTGTATGAATCTACAACCACAAGTGTTAACAACTTTTAGAAGCCAAAACAAATACAATTGAAATTTTTTTACAAATCTATGTATCACACATTGTCATACACTATGTTTACCATACATATGCACTTACCTCAGTATTGTTCAAATCTAGTGCATGTTTTCTCTTTTTCGCACTAACAACACGTGTCTACAAAAAAAAAAAAAAGAGTAGGCAACACTACATTAGTCGGTATAAATAACAATGTCAAAACTACATTAATTAGTATTCTAGTTTTTAGTCGAATTCTCTTGTTGGAGATCATATCGAGATCACTTATTTTTCTACATTTTTCTATCACCGAAGAGTAGGTATATGCCCGTTTTCATAAAAAATTAATTAAGAACAAGCATATTGCCAATGCAGAAAAATATGTTGCAAATTGAAAAATTAAGATATTTTTTACAAACCTCTTCAAAAGACCGTGGACATGGTGAGGGTGTTGGTAACTGGTGTAGCACCTGTGTAGATGGTGTACGTTCATCTTCATGTGGCTCTCTGAGTGGCCTATGAGTACTACATGCATCTGGAACCTACGACATTTTTAGAACATATTAAGCTACACATTTTGAAAATTGATAAGTTATTGAAACAATAATACCAACTATTCACTATACTGCACCGGTCTAATCTCAGAGCATCCACCCTCCTCCTAGCGAGAGCGTATCAAATCAAGTTGTTGACGCATATCATTAATCTCGTGTCGAAACTCTTCTCTTAACTCTTTTCATAGCTCTTGACACATCCTCTTTCTGTCCAAATCTGCAGATACTTGAGATGGAGTTGAGGTTTGGCCATATATACATCACTCCACACGACTCCTGAACCATAAGTCCGCACATAGTCATGACCATCCTCTCCAACTACATCATGGTATACCTTGTATTATGTTTAAATGTACGGTGTCACCAATTTTTTTTAAAATTTTTTAAACAAAAATTATTTTGAATTTTTTCCTTATATTATGTTTAAGCATACGATGTCATCTGTTTTTTTTAAAAAAAAAAATTAAAAAAGTTTTATTTTAATTTTTTTTCTTATATTATGTTTAAACATACGACGTCACCAGTTTTTTTTAAATATATATTTTTTAAAAATTATTTTAAATTTATTTCTTATATTATGTTTAAGCGTACGATGATTAAGCTTTTCCATGTATTGTATTATGTTAGATCATCCCATCACTTTGGCACAATGCACCTTAAAAACACAGACATTAAGCATGTGCTACACTGACAAAGCTATACAATGGAGAACTCATGTATTGGTATACAAGGTTTCCTTATATGACTACAGGCCATTAAATCTCCAACATCTTGAAGCATACATCAAGAGCAAAGAGCGAGACCCAGGGTATGGGTTTTCCCAAGCAAAAACTACAAAACGTAAATCAAGCATCGTTGCCAGACATGTCAAATTTCAACACTCAATTTTGGTCAATATTTACTGTTTTCCTGTCATGTATCTTCACGTCCTAAAAGTCACAAATGTAGGAACC